AATCTCAGTTCTGATGACAAGCGCTTTTTGGAGATACTCTTTAGCCTTGTCGTACTGCCCTAAAGACTCGAACACAGTACTTAGGTGTCCATAACATGATGCTTCTCCGTCTACGTCACCAATTTCAGTTGTGATGAAAAGTGCTTTTTGGAGATATTCTTTAGCCTTTCCGTATTGCCCGAGAGACGAAAACAGGTTACCTAGGTGTCCGTAGTCAAATGCTTCTCCTTCTCTGTCGCCAATCTCAGCTCTGATGACAAGCGCTTTTTGGAGATACTTTTTAGCCTTGTCACATTCCCCGTGAAACCGAAGCAACGCTCCTAGGGTACAGTAACAGGATGCTTCTCCTCTCCTGTCCCCAATTTCGTTTTTTATGGCAAGGGCTCTCTCAACATACTCCGTTGCCTTTAGGTTTTCGCCAAGTTTATAAAACATAATTCCCAGTGTTTCGCAGGCGCTTGCTTCTCCAATTTTCTCACCGGTTTGTCTCTTTACATTAATTGCTTTTTCGTAAAGTTGTTTGGCCTCTGTAAACCTATTTTGACTCTCAAAAATCTCTGCTAGAGCTATGCTTACATCTCCTTCTTTTACTAAGTCACCAGACTCGCTGTATAAGTCAAGCAGTTTTCTGCCGTATCTTTCTGCATTTATGTAGTCAGAGATACGACGATATGCGCTAAAAAGAACGTTACAGATGGCACTGTAAAGTAGTAGCAGTTGTGAATTAAATCGGTCTTTGCTGTTTTGATCGATGTTATTTAGCAAAATCAAACATTCGCTGCATATCTCAATGGCTTTCTGAATGCGATCTGAGTTTAGCAGGAACAGGGAAACCAGAAAGGCGATATTCATAAAAGCTATCATGGCTTCTGCCGTTAGGTTTCCATTGCCATCCTCTCCTGTCATAAGAGAAAAATTTTTATTAGCAACGCCAGTTAACCAAATGATTCGATAATCTGGATTGAGAATGAGTTTCTACAAACAGGAACGCAGATGTGAAGTTACAAAAACGGGCTGGGTCGGTTACACCTGGAAAGTTTTTGTAACGAGCAGAAAGTGTTAGAATTCACAATATTGACTTAAAACAAAAAATAAGTAAAGAGGAGACGTGGATAAGTACAACTGGAGCACATCAGCAGATCACATTCGGTCATATTAATTAGACCTCAGTTTTTTCGAAAACGATTTCACCTAGAAACTTTTTTTAACGAGCTAAAAGTGTTAGAATTCACAATATTGACCTCAAACAAAAAATAAGTGACGAAGAGGCGTGGATAAGTACAACTGGAGCACATCAACGGATCACATTTGGTGAAACTTGTAAACTTTATTTGACCTCCACAGCTTTTTTTTGAAAACGGACTATGGACTGTCACGCTGTGAACGACAACCGTTATCCAGTGATTTTTGATCTAGCTGTTTCGTTTGTTCATCGTATTAAGTGAAAAAATGACGCGCGCTTGAGTTTGACTAATGATCGCGTGTCGGGGAGGTCGCGCCATCAATTAGGGGGTTTTGAAAGATCGCGGGTTTCTTAAAAGGACATGAAGGATTGATAAACCTATTACCACAACGTTCTGGAAACATTTGAAAATGTTGTTCTAGCGGTTTATCACCAAGTAATGAGCTTACTTATCTGAAGTATATGGCTGAAATGTTTACGTGCGTTCGAGCGGAGTGGATGTGTCTTTCTTTCTTCAGTTTATAACTCATCTGAGACAAACCAAACAAGATGAATGGAAAGGATAGTCAACTTGGAAAGGAAATTCAGCAATTAGGAAACAAAGTTCCTAAACTGAAGAAACATTTGGAAAAGTTAAGTGTGGAAATTGGTAATCATAGGGCGATTCATCGCTAAAGAGCAAGGCCAAATTCAAATCGTCCGGAATCGGTGCTACGAACCTAAACAACTACGATCACCTAACACCGTACCACGCTTGCAGAATCTCCTGTTTGAAGCAAAGAAGTCAAAGATGCTAATAATTTCAAGTTTTGCTGGTTTTGTTAACCTCAGAGAATCGGAAGCATCTCCCATCCGTAAATTTAGCAATGTAGAGGAGCTAAACGCATTTGTACAAGGATGTGACAGCTAAGTATCGGTAAAAGTTTTAGTGTATTATTTGTGGCTTGATCTCCCTCTCTAAATGTAAACTTGCATCACAAGATGCAAAATGCGTGAATGAAATTCAAAAGTCTTTCGTAAAGAACTTCCATATTTTGACTCGACAGGTAGTTTACCTTTTTATCGTAGAAAATTTAACAACTTATATCAAAGTGAGCTTCCACCAAACAGAAGTCTAGAAAGTTTAACTGGTTTTTACGATCTTGACTCATTCAAATCTAACACAAGTCTTGATTCCAGGTTTAATACTAACAATAATTTGTTCACTCATAAAATTTATGGTCGATTCTTCTCTCCGCATAATTTCAAAAATTACAGCAATAGTTTAACGAAGAAGCAATTGGAACCTAGTTCAATTTTTCATAATAATATTTTAATTGTAAACAAAAATATTGAAAAACTTGTAAAACACTATTTAGAGAATATAGATCTCCACCTCGATATTATTGGGATTACTGCAACGAAAATGACCAACACAAATCAAAATTTTGCTTCCAAAATTCCATGTTACGCTTTTGAACACGTGCCCTCACGTCTAGCCTCTAGAGGTGTTGGGCTCTTCATTGATGGAAACCTTAAATACACAGTGCTTGAAAAGGAGTCGCATGGAGCCTTTCAGGCATCGTGGATAGCAATTTCTTTTAACAAACAGAAGAATGTCATATGCGGCAGCCTTGATTGCTCACACAATTCTCCAGATTGTTTTAGTGGATATGTTAGTGATACAACCCAAAAGGTAGCTTCCACAGGAAAATCAATCTATTTAATGAGCGACTTCAACGTATGACTGTTGAAGAAAGAGAAATTTCAATACGGCTAGGACTTCTTATTCGCCTTACAGAGCAGTTATCTCCTTCCAACGATTGGCAAACCAACACGCATGCATGGAATGTCAGCCTCTCCTATTGATGATATTTTTGTCAATAATCCCGACCAAGTTTTAATTAGTGGAAATATCATCACTGACGTTTCTGATCATTTCTCCCAGTTTTGCATTTTGATTTCAGGAAGAAAGAAAGTTGCCAACAAAACAACAGAGAAACGCGACTTCTCAGACTTCTCAGTTCGGTTTAGTAATGATCTGTCAATAGCCGACTGGGATAGTATTATAGTATCAAAAGCAAATGGCAATGACGACCAATTTTAAACTTTTTGTAGGCAATTAATTAAAGTCGTGCGAAAACATGCGCCTTTAAAAATTGCATCAAGAGGTGAAATTAAACAACTCGTAAAACCATGGATAACAAAGGGAATGAGAACTTCAATTAAAATAAAAAATAGGTTTTATAAAATAATTCAAGCAAAAAGCAATGTTACTTTGATTTTTTTAATTAAAACGTAAAGAACATGAAAAAAAATGGTAAGGAACAATGAATTATTAAACAACCGTAACAAATATCATAACACGATAACGACATTAAAAGACCCAAATAACAACAATCAAGTTACTGATACCAAATATTCTAATTGAACATTTCGCAAGTGTTGGTACCAAACTAACAAGTAAACTACCCATGAAAAGCAATTATATGGAATATCTAAAGAGATTAAAATTAACTGACTCCTTCCTTTTAAAAAAGAAATTCTATCACTACCAAGAAAAAAAAATCATAAGGTTTAAATCCTTGTCGTACCCAACTTCTTAGATTTTTTCCTGTCGTATCGAACATTTTCAATACTTCTATCACGTCTGATGTCCACACTTCAAAACTTAAGATCTCCAAAGTCACATCTATCTTTAAAAATGAAGACGAGACTGATGCTTCCAATTACCGACCAGCTTGTCTCTTGTCAAATTTCAATGGAATATTTGAAAAGCTATTGTATCACGGAATAAAGGACTTTATCGACAAAAACGAATTAAGAGTCTGTTCACGTGAGGACCAGGTAGGCGTGGAAAATGCCATCTCACCGATTTCTCTCAAACTTCTGGCTAATTCCTAGGGTTTTAGAGCCCCCACCTCAAATCTCTGGGATAAAAGGCTAAAATTAGTTCGAAAATGCAATTCCGATGCATCTCTGTCTCACCAACATATTGCGATGGATTTTAATCTTATTATGCGCAATGGATGTTTTTGTATCTTAAGGAAACAATTCTTTAAAGTAGAGGTGATATAACCTCGGCCAATTTAGGGCAGTTAATCATTAACTGTGTCTCGAAATTATTCCAAAAAAGGGAAAATTATGGTTTTTTTAACTGCAAATATCTCCGATGGGTAATATTGTATGTCTATAGACATACCATCACAGGAAAAAAAACCATCTTAATACTACCTTCTTAGGGAAAATGTTTAGGCCTCTGTAAAAAATTCGTCATCACGTCCTTGTGAAATACGTGACCTCTGACGTTAATGTATGCAATTTTTTGGTTATAAACTGATGTTTATTCACTCAATTTAAATTTGAGAATGGGATCGCCGACGCTAGTTTTGTGGTACTTATGTCTAAATACAAAAGATGTATACATGCCGAGCCAAGGAGTCACTTATTATAGAAATTCTGTAACGCTGACACAATCTAATGGAAAAACGATTCATAAATGTATGTATATATCATACGTTGAACATTAAAGGACGTCGGTAGTTGACAGTGACGTTTGCCAAACGTAATTTACAGAAATGAAAATTGTAGTAGTAACCCATCAAACCGAAAAAAATTTGGACCTACGACCGTACGACCGACCGTAAAAGGTACTACTTTTAGCATGCGCGGCCAACTGTACCACGGGTACTATCTTAGCCATTACGTAATGGAAGGGCGAGTGAGAAAGTAATGCGCAGGCGCGATTGCGTGCGTAATTTGGATACTTGGAAACACCGGCAGACGACAATAAAGTGCGCATATTCGAGTGTCGAGCGTCAGTGTAACGTACTGCGTTTTGAGTGAAAATGAGATGAAAAGAAAGAGACCGAGCGACCAAAAAAACAAGAAGTAAAAGACGTAAAGCGGGTCGAGAAACACGCGCAAGAAAGTTAGAGGGGACACCAAAATAGGCAGAATACAGCGAAAAAAATGCGAAAGAGAATAAAAAAGACTTAAGTATAAAGGTGAATATCTTACGAGTAGCAACGCGAGAAGGAAATACAAAGACGCTCCTTGGTAGAGGGAGAATTTGCATAATGGAGGTAAGACGTGTGTTATGCTACTCTTCGATATTTTATCTTCTAATGAATGTGTCTTCTCAGCCTTCATTTGAGCGGGAAATCCTTGAACTCTGCTTCTAAAGGTATTGGCTATGACCTTACAACGTTGATTGGGACCAGGGATGTATCGACTCCAAGGATTGAATCCATATTTTTGCATCCTAAGAAGTCAGCAAAAGCAAGTGTCATGGCGTCGCACTCAAAGTTATTATTATTATTGGCGACTCGCATCTTGCGTTTTGCCCTTGCGGCAAATCTTGTAATTCTATCCAATGATGTCTCCTTAAATCCAGGTCCTGCTGGACCTTTGCCGCAGGTTATACCCAACAGCCTAAGTGATGAGTCTTTTTCGCTTGATGGAAGTACGCTGCCGAGTTCGTATAGTGGTTTGTATGACACCTTTGATTCTTCGGTCGAATTAGACCACTGCGAATTGTATCCTCTCTTTGATCTTGGTTTGGATGATAAAGCTTTAAGGATTGGTCACTGGAATGTTAATCACTTAACTTCAACTAAGTTTGATCAGATCAAGCTTTTCCTTTCCGGAGAGTCTGGTAGACCTCAAGTTGACGTGCTTTTCTTAAACG